AAAAATGTGTAGCTGATGAAGCACACTCGAGAGATTCCCCTTAGGAGATGATGGAAAGAAAAACAGAACAAAAATTTACAGGTGGGTAAATATTCAACTTACCACCAATAAAAAAGAAAAATCCAGAGAAATTCAAGTTAGCTTTGTAACAAAGTATGATAACTCAATATGTTATCCATCTAAAGTTTGTTTGGAATATTTTCATAGAAAAGGTTGCATGTTATAACATCACTTGACTGTTTCAAGGTGCAACCCACTATACATCTGTTTAATTATTGATCTCTCAAGTTCAATATGAGTCAGACATGCATATGTCTGTTTCATAAATCATTAGAACAGGTTGAAAACATCAAACAGTACACCACACACTATTTTTAAATAGGACTTTTTTTTCAGTAAAGAAAAAAAATATATATATATATTGTTCTAATGTTCAGATGTTAATTGCCTGTACTGAATTTTATGAAAGTGAATCAGCGTAAAAAGGGGTCGGTGGTTGAGCATGTCAAACATTTGAGGCTTTTAGTTGTGAAAATTTTTGAAACCCATGTGACCACTCTCCATCCACTTGACATTCAGATGCCACTTTGTGTGAGATTACACCATGAAATCCTAATAATACACTCTGAAGTGTGTTGGTGTAATCTTAAAAAAATCCAGGTAGTATGAATACTTTTGTGCCGGACTACTAATCGGCCCAAAAGGCAAATGTATAACTTAAAGAAAAAGTTTTCAGATGATTTATGTTAAGAAACACTTGCCTCACTGCGACCCAGCCAAGCATGATCAGCTTACCCGCTGAAAAACCCACTGAACTCTAATTTAGGCAAGGTAGGCTGAGTAATTAGGTTATAATTGGCTTGCTTACAGTTAAATTACTTCTTTTGGCACATGTCTCTTCCTTAAAGCTTCTATTACACTGTAATTAGTTCTGAACCTATTCACTCCAAAACAAAATGTCTTCATACATTTACATGCCCCGCTCACGCAACAGATGTCAAGTGTGTTGCATGAGCTAGATGATAAGAAATCAGAATTCGACAGACGTTTATCTGCCACAATCTGTTTACCTTGCCTTCTCAACGGCCGTTATTACTGAAGCCAAACAAGATGAGGTTGCTTACATGACTGAGCTGCCTACCCTGGAGACAAAGCACCATTCATGATTCAGAGTTCACTGCTTTTTCTGTTTGGTTTTTTTGTTTTGTTTTTCCTGGATTCTTGAGGGTCTTTCTGTGTAAGAGTACACCAACATTTATGGCACAAAAATGTCAAAAAACTAAATTCTGTGACTCATTGCAGTGCTTCAAAAATGAGAACAAAAAATGTCTGAACGCATAGTGTAACTATACACCAGCTCAGTGAATTATTATGACACAGTGGAAATCGCCAAGATGTAATTTGCTGAAGACAAGCTTGAAACAATACTTTCTAGAGTAAGGATTTCACAAAAGTTCATCTATTCTTTTCCTCATCATATTTCAGTGATATTGCCAAAGTATTATTTGCTATCTTGCTTTCATGTTTACAAAAGTAACAATTTAATCAAAGGGAAAAAATGTCTCTCTGAAAAAGGCCTTTAACTTTCTGAGGTACACAATGCTCTCATTAGCACTCATAAATTCTCATTTTTGTGCTGAACTTCTGGTTGACCTGGTTCACCACAAATCCACTACCATTTCTCTGTGCTGCATGTCAGCAGGCTCACATCAACAATAGAGTATTGTCTTAAAGCCAAATTGATCATTAGCAGTGAAATCATAAATATTTCCCTGCAGAAAAAAACCCTTTAAAATCATGAGTTTACTGCTAGAAAATGTTTTCTTTTTTTTTCTAATGGATCAGTTTATAACATTATAGTATTGGCCTTGGAAGAAGTGGGGCAGTTTTTCTTCATGCAGATTTCAACATGGCAACACACAGTGACGATTGGCTGCCTGAACCCTTCGACCTGCCTCCCTCCTGTGAAAAGGCTATTGGACCATCTGTGGGACATTGGACCAATCCCGCTGCTGATGAGACACCTACACTAGCAACATGCTCCAAAGAAGATGCATTTATTGGACAGTTTTGTACCAAATATGTTGTTTTCCCCTTGATGCTCCTGAGAGTGTGTTACTGAACCTCATTTTAATTTTGTGATCCATCAAAACTTTGGTTGTCTTAAACCCGGCAGGCTAAGTTGTAAATTTTTTCCATTTGAATCCTGAAATGACAAATATGTCAGTGCTTCTAATTTGTGTATTTTTGTTTGATTTATAGCTAAGCGTGAAGAGATTATTTTTATTATTTTGTTTTTATTAGACTATCCACCCTTTACTTAGAAAAATTAGTTTCGTTTTCATTAACTGGTTTGACTTACACCTGCTCTCCTAATTTTTTATGTTTCTTACAACAAACTGCAGAAGCAACCAGTTAGTGGGTTTTATTATAAGCTTGTAACACCAAAAATCTAATTACATTTCATTTATTAAATAAAATGTGATGCATTAGGCTATTGCTAGTAACATCAACATCAATACCAAGCAAATTATTTCCATGCACTGTGCATTTTTAAAAAAGTGTGTGAAATATCACTATTTACTTGACACATCAGGGTTTTTAATGAAAGTACTAACTTTATAAAGATTTAGTTGAACAGACAAAGTAAAATGTTTGAAGGAAAAACATGGACAAGTCACTACAGCCAAGCTTGGTCTGTTTAATTTGGTTGTCTAGCGCTTGCTCTGATAACATTTGTTTTAAAAACAGGTGTGACTGTGTGTATAGGGGAAGAGAGATGAAGAACGAAGATAACTTATTTAAAAAAGGAAAATTAAGGTGTGTCTTTTGTACTTTCACCTTATTTTACCTCCTGTCCTGATCTACAGGTTGGATTTTGTTTTATCTGTGCAGCCACGGGTCCCCGTCCTTGTCTCTTATCATGAAATAGTTTCTATTTTCCAAATTTAACAGGCATAGTGCACCTGGAGCTCACTAAAAACACATTTCTCATTCGGTCGGCACCGTCTGAGACAGTCGCCCGTGAGATAGCGCCTCTGAAAATTCTAATACAAACAACATCCTCTTATGTGCATGCAATTTCAGAACTGGGTTACTACAAGGTCTGAGATAAGTAAACACTAAAATGTTTTTTTTTTTTAAACGATCACACTGTGGTCATGGTCATAGGCAAAGTCTATGAACCGTCTAAGTAGTTTGCCATTCATCACTAATGCTTTCAATCACTGAGTGCAGCTGAAAACAATCCCCTCTGTGAAGAGTCTTGGGTAAGTGGATGCATTGTTGATTACCTGTAGCCACTCGTAAGACAAAGGCACAGCTGTTTACTCTTGCTTCTGTCTGTGGAGAGATTATTCTCTTCCCAGAATAAAGAGATGGGTGATAAAAATGAATAGAAAATGCACAGAGTTAGAGAATAGCTCGCACAGCCCATAAAAATGCCATTTTAAGCATTTGACAGGAAATGGCCTATTTAGCTGCAACAATTTCAGTAAAAAAACAAAACAAAACAAAAAAAAAAAACAGTTCATGTATTTATTTATTTGCTAAAACTAAAAGCAGCAAAAAAGTTCAGGTCAAAGAATTAACTCTCTCCCCCAAAAAGTCTTTCTGTATAGAAATGGTCTTCATGATCCCTTAGCTTGAGATTCATTTTCCCCTCAGCATTCAAACACAAGTAACCGCCCTCTCCGGCGAATTGATGTTTATCCTTGGATCTCAAATTCCACCTTTCCCAAATGTGGTATGACTGACCTGGAAGAGTACAGATGCCTTCTTTATTCTGCAGCTCCAATCTCTTAGGACGGGGCAGAAGCAGCTGAAGAGACGGGGAGGAGCTGTTTTTTTTTTCTTCTTCTACTTACTTCTCTTCTGTGGAGGCTGATGGAGTTACTGTTTGAATTTTAATGTGTTCAAATTCTTCACCATATTGTAGAGTAAATACAGTTTATTAAGTCCATTGTTTTCTTTTTGTGCATCTTCCTAATTTAGAAGATGGCTTTCTCAAATTTGTAATACACCTGGATGAAAGCAAAGTTTTTGCATATGTGTCAGTATGGCCTGCTGATTAATTTCCCTGAGTTAGAATAAAGTAAAAACCACTGTAGAAGTGAATGGGAGTGTAAACATCTCTGTCATCGTCTGTGGGTGTCCAGGCTTTGGAGAGAAATGTGTCACCGTGCTTTTGGAAAAAGACAAAGATCCCCCTCAGGGAAGGGAACAAAAGGGCAGGTGCAACTTCCTTCTCTCATTCACTTCTATGTTAAACTGACACTGCCAGCGACAAATATATGAGCTGTAATGCATGCAGCAGGGTGCCAGCTTGTATTACATCAGTTTACTTAAGTCAAAGCTAGATTGTAGTCCTCTTAAAGTGAAGGCTAACAGTACCATCTATAACCAAGATCACATAAAGTGTAAAAGGTGCACATAAAAAATCTGTGGTGGCATGAAGAATTAAATGCTATATATTGACCTGGTGGAAAACCATAATAACCAAAATGGATTTGCTTAGACTTAGGGCATTTCTTTACATTTTAATTCAGCCGTATTGAACCATTTTTAAGAATGACTGGCCTACTTAATTTCACACCAAATCGACTCAGTCAGAATTATGTTGAGTACCAAGTCACTCAAAAACCTCCTTTTGGTTGAGTTATTCAGAGATGGATGATGATGCCGTGTTAGTCTAACTACAGATGTAATTGTATGTGCAACTTAAAGTTTTCTACATGCGTTTTACCAGTGTACAGAACATTTTCCCAAAACTTTGAACATCATTTTGTCATGTTTGAGGATGATTTCATGACCCACATGCAAGAACATGGAGGAATGAAACAATAAAAAGTTTATTACAAATAAAAAGCTGATCATTTTCAAACTGGAGTAGATCTAAGACCTGGTTGCACTTGATAAAAAATAGATAAGTTATCAGACGGAGTAATGGATATTGTTGACAAATTCAAAGTAAAGAGGATGTACTGAGCTTACTATTCAAGAGTCGGACAATGCTGTGGAAGATCTTATGTTCCTGGTGGTGTATTGAGAAATGGAGACAGAGGTGAGACTGAGGATTCAGGGGAAGTATCTGGCGCCTAAAGAGAGAATTGCAGAGAGAGACTTTAGATCTGAGTGCATAGAGGACACAAGGAGCAAGTTGAGCCCAGGTAAGCAAAACCTTATACAGGGATTAAACATCCACAAATGAAAAGCTAATAATCAAGAAGTAACTCGAGGAGAAACACAGGGACCTTGACTCTACAACAAAGGCTGATCACCAATCAAAGACTGATTGTCAAATAGCTCCTCAAATTCCCAGCAGTGTGAGGCAGGCAACTGTAGTCAGGTGTATGAACTGCAGGATTCCAATCTCAGTTCAGAAAAATGCCTAAAAGATACAAACTCACACCCACACACCAGGCTCATGACACATATTGATGTGTCTCAGTAAATGTCAGAAGAGTCTTTGTGTTGCTTGTTTTCAGCTGTGCATTTTGCCTCATGACTCTCATGCTATCAATCTGTCGATCCTTTCTGTGTCCGGGCAGGGTGAGGTTTCCAATGTGTCAAATTAAGCGACCGTTGTCCAGACTCTGTCCTGTTGTTGAATCATGACCACCACTGCTGACCTTAACAGATGCAAATGCGGCCTGTAGTTCTGAAATGTCTTTTTTTTTTGTGACCTCATGGATGAGTTGTCAAAGCACTCCTGCGCTAACTTTAATGCCCAGAGGATTTTGAAGAGATCAATAAATAAATGACATTTCATTTCTTATTATTGTTTCATTCAGCAAATAAGAACAATGAAGGTAATTCTAGCTGAATTACCTACATGTTGGTCTGATTTAACTTGTAAAAGTGACAATGTGTATTTGGCTTTTTATTTAGTGTATGTAAACTTCTGGCTACAACTGTATTGCTTCATTTATTGTATTTTGCAACTGTCTATTGGGTGGGTTGATGTTGATCTTACACATGATGCCTGTGTAACATCATAACAGGCATCATGTCAAAGTAAAGAACACTAGTGTTTAAGATTATACTATTTCAATAACAGATTATTATGGCATGTTGAGTTTTATGAGTCACGATACAGCAGCGTTATTCAACAGTCTAATATCCAGTCATTTAAGTTTTCGGCAAATGCTAGCTGATGCTAATACCCAAGTATTCCTAGGAGACAGTCAAGTTCCAAAGCAGAGAGGCTATTTGCAAAGCAGAAGAAACTTCTCAGCAGTGAAAACTCACTGTGAAGGTGTTAGCAGAGCTCTGAATGGGTAACACAATGAAGGCTAAATTTAGAAAGCTCCCACTGTGTCACTTTTAGTTGGTTTCCATAACCACTGCACAGCAGGCTGTTGAGGAACTACTTCTTTCCCTGATGTGTGAATTGAACATTCTTTACTCTGGTCCTCTAAGTTAAGAGTAATAGAATACTTATTTTCTACTAAACAAGATATTTTAGTATTGCTATTTTTCATGCTGATGGTTATTGATTTCATATCCCCAGTTGTTTAGACATTAACTAAATATGCTTTTCAGTAAAAATAAAACATTTAATATACAGAAGTGACAACAATATGTCAACATTTCCCCAATAGATACAGTCCAAATAGGCTGGCTGATAAGAAATTCATGTCACACATTGGTACAAATGACCAAAATCAATGTTTCTTTTTATTCCAGATGTAGGCTATATTTAATGACAGGAGAAATAAGCACTAAACACAAAGAAAAATTAGCAAAAAAGCAAAGAAAGAGACAATTATCAAAACCTGTCAGTAGCAATCCTACTCCCTATCAGTGCAAATTAATTCCATCTGGCTTAGTGTAAATTAATTGTCTATTAAAAGATTTGGCGTACTGAGTATGCCAAATCTTTTTGCAAAACAAGCATCTGCATCACCATCCAATGGTTGAAACAGGTCAGCTATTCTCTTAAACACAAACCAGGCTGGGATTAAATGTAATACATGCACTTCATTGCCAATTAAAACCAAGGGTATCATAAAAAAAACTAAATATAATTGGTATTTGGCCAAAAGACATGTTGTAATTAATATTTTATGTATGTTTATTCAGATACATTTTTACTTTGTTTTGTTATCTGTTTTTGCATTCAAAGGAATATGTCAGTTTAAATCTTTAAATGTGTAACGTTTTGTTTCTGTCAGGAATTGATTAAAGATTGAGGCGTTATGGTCTTTAAATTCTGAGAAGACCGTGTTAAAATCCAGGATCTGGATCTACTCATGTACACATACCAGCCGCAATATCAAATTTCTATGGTTCCCTTCTCCTCAGGTATATGTTATTTTTTATGCACAGTTTTGTGAACTATCTTTCTGGGATGAAAATTCAAGTAAATAAAATATATTTTGTAAGTCATAATTTGAAGAAAAACATCAGAATTTGCAATTTATTTTCAAACAGACATAAATGTCAGCATGTTCCTTTTGTAAAATGTGTTACTAACAAACCTTTGCTTTTACCTTCAACTTAAAGTAATCATAACCTGGTCACTGAAGCAGAAAACTGACAGGTCAAACAAAGCCCTGACTTGATTTTCCCTACAACACAGCTGGTTGCCCCTGAAAAGACCAATGACCAACAGTCATTTAATAAAAACCTTGTGATTATGTTCCACTATCAATTATTGATGGTGTGTGAGGCTGGTTTTGTCTGGATCAATGCTAATGTTGGGCCATGGTGCTTCTAAGAAGTAGCTTTGTAACCTGTGGTGACTGGCTGTTGTTTTGTTGGAGCATCAGCAGGTGGCTTGCGTCCTTGGGCTTTTGTTGCTCGTGAACTTGAGCCTTTTTGGCACATCAGCAGATTCCCGGGAGACTTCAGTGATCTGGCTCAGTTTTCTGCCCTTAGATCTAGTTGCATCATGACCGGGGTGTTCGTATCTTCTGGGCCAACGCTGTATGGGCACACATCATGACAGGAGGCGTTGGAAAAAAAACACTGAATCTTTTCAATTACGTTTGTTCACCTCCTTTTTAATAAAAAGAATATTGATCCATATTTCACTGGAAGAGTGAAATATGGATCACTGTTCTAGTGAAATACCAATGATCTCCATTTTATACAGGATTTTCTCGATGTGATGTCATGATAAAAGGCTAGCTGTCAGACTTGTAAATATCAGGACAGCAAAATTTTACTTATTTCTAGGTTAAGTAGGTCACATTTAACTCAGGTACAGTGATGATCAATACATCTAAAGAGTTTCAACAGCAGTTTGTTACATGTCTTTTTTCTTAACTTGACAAGCAAAACTACCTCTCGGTGACAAGTATGCTTGTAATGAGCTGCCAGCACCCACACCAGCTGCTGTTAAAATGAAAACATCTGCTCATTCGGGAGTTACTTTTGAACCTTTAAAACTAGGCCAGGTGGGTTAATTATAGGTTTGAAAATTTGAACTAAATATATGCTGCACCAAAGCCAGGCGTTCCACCTCTCCTTATTTATATGTGTGTTTTTGTGCAACAGAAGACTTACCTACTTCTGAGTGTATGATTGTATGACTTGATTCTGAGTGTATGACTTCTGAGTCCTTATTATAGAAATGCATTAGACTATAATTCACTCTTGAATTTAATGCAGGCATGTCTATGATTCCTTATCATTAGTGGCATATGCTGTGCTATTCAAAAAAATATATACTGAACAATTTAACTACCAGCAGTTTTATAATAAAGAGGCCTTCGCACCAAGATATAGTGCACACCTTACTTTGAGTGCAGGTTCAACTGACAACGGGTGGTTAACCTGATCCCAGTGCAGCAATTTTTTATAACAAAAGGCATAAGACGCACCACTGAAAATACACCCCAAAACTATCTTTGCTAGGACTAAAAATCAGCCGCTTTCCTCTCTTGCTCTGCCATGAGAAGTTTAGACTGACAGATCAGCCTACCAGGTCATGTCTGCATGCTTGTAGTTGTCAACAGTGACTCCACTGTTAACAACTCAGAGAGTTTCTTACTGTATTTAGCGACATTTCAATAAAAATAAAAAAAAATGCCACTGGCTAAAATCAAAATTGGCAGGTCAAACGTTTCATAGATAATCTATGGTCTGTGAGAAGGCTGCAGTCGGTGCACTGACCCATGTAAGATGATGGCTCATGTAAGAAAACTTTATCCTACTTACTTGAAGGTCTAACTGTGACTTTATCTTGACCAAAACATCACATGTTAAAAACTTAACATTATTTTTATTGCTTATCCTAAATTCATAAGACTTAGAATATATATATATATATATATATATATATATATATATATATATATTATATATATATATATTATATATATATTTATTTTTTTTTTTTTTTTTTTTTTTTTTTTTTTTTTTTTGAAGAGTATCAGTAAAATGCAATTCACAAGCTGATGTTTTATTCTCAACCCGTGGAGTCTCAACCCATGCAGGAATCTGCTGCTGATGAACGATGGATGCGCCGCTAGGTGTGATTTGATCACCGTCATGTCGTTCCAGGTCAAATTTAGATTTCTTCCTGCATACTTTACAAAAGGCCTTTCGGTTTGGATCACTGGGCTGTGATCTCAGTCACAGCTCACTGAGGTTAGGGTTAGGATGGTGCTTGGATTCTATCAGTAGCTTGGAATCTATCAGTGACAGCGAAGGTCCTACCAGTATGGTTTACTTTTTAAGCTTTTAGTAAAACAAACTTAAAACAATAAGTGAGCATCAATGGAAAAGTAAAAATATTTTAAAGGGATTATCAAAAATGTACTACCTTTAGTTACTTCTTACTACCTTTGACTAGCCTTAATTTGAGCTAATTTATTTTACTACATTTTAAAACCGTGCAGAAACCTTGTATAAAGAATAGATACAAACAGCAAAAATAAAATGTAAGGAATACATTTTTTCAACATTCGAAGTTCAAATAAAACAAGTTCCACAAATAATTTCACAATATCAATGAACCAGTAATGCTTTGTTTTCTTGTCCCACTAAGCTAATTGTCACAGTAAGGGCCCTTAAACACACTTCAATGGGCTGATTTGTTTCCCTTTCAATGTTTTGTGAAGATGTATCTTTGAACATCTGCTTTAACACTTCCATTCTCCAACAGAAACTGCTCTGCTGCTGCCTCCACAGCTCAGAGGAATTTTTCAATCTCAACTGGGTAAGGATGGGGGGGAAGTAGGTCACAACAAACACTGGCCTTGTTAACGGAACATGTAAACAAATAGACACATACCCATGCCTGAACTAATCAGAAAACCAATTACACCCCCATTTAAAAAAGGCTCCACTGCACTGCTGGGAGGATGACAAGTCATTTCCCACTCCTATGTTTCTTTTTGCACAGCATCCAGATGAGGAGATTAATGATGTGTTTCAAGGGGATTTACAAAAGCTACCTATCACATGCATTGCTTCAACCTGTCATCTTTGACAACAGCAGACACACTTTAAGGCAGCCAGACATGAATTCAATTCCTGTGCCAAATCATTGTTGTACACAACGCTCCTCCTAGTTGAATGTAATATTACGGAAAGACAGAATAAACATTTTGTTGGTTTTTCATAACTTGCTGTCATGACAAGCATTTATGGTGACATTTTATACTGAGACCTGTGTCGCTGATACAATCTCCATTTATGGATGTATGTAATTTCTTTTAATCTTTTCCTGAGTGAAGTTGGTGTTTATGCTTGTTGAGGTCTATCACTCAACTTTATTATTAATTTCAGAATGATCATTTTGGAACAGATGATCAATTTTAACTTTACCAGAAAATGCTGCTTACACTTACACTTAAGGCCAAAATTTGTTATAGCCCAGGCAGATGACTTCATGTTATAGTAACACTTTGCAAAGGCTCAACCATAATCGTGACCTTAATCTGTTGGACTGTACCCCCCATCCTCGGACTGTTCCCCTCACATACATGATCTGTATACAATCTTCATATAATCTGTAAATCTAATTTGCCATCATTTATCCTGTATTATAAAACAACTTATATATATATATATATATATATATATATATATATATATATATATATATATATATATAAACTTATATATAATATATATATATATATATATAAACTTATATAATATATATATATATATATATATATATATATAACTTATATATTAATATATATATTATATATATATATAAACTTATATATAATATATATATATATATATATATATATATATATATATATATATATATATTATATAACTTTATATATATTATATATAAGTTTATATATATATATATATATATATATAAGTTTATATATATATATATATATATATATTATATATAAGTTTATATATATATATTTTATATATATATATATAAAAAAGGACATACATAAGTCAGAAAAGTACAGCCCTGTTTCCACCTTCTAACATGGTTTACTACAGAGACAAATTACTAGAGACAAAGCTGGAATTTCACTTCCAAGGATCTAAGTTTCCCCTCCTCTTTCCCTTTTACAGTTGGTGATTTTATACTTTTTTGTATTTTTTTTTTTTTTTTGTGCATTAAACACTATAATATATGTAGCTCTGTAGGGAAAGAATGCAGAGCTCTGTGGATAGGGAGTAAAACTCATCATCCACAACCTGGCTGTCTTTTGCTATGAAGACGGGTTCCATTCACTCGCCAATATGTTGCCTCATCATCCTGTATTCCAGGTGTTGTCCCATAACAGGGCAACTTTACTTAATCTTTGAAGTATTTTTTACAGCATATTTGTCTGTAGCCAGATGCATGAGACGAACACTTGATTACACGTCTCAGGTTTGTCAGCTTTAATTTGCCAACATGACTTCAGAGCAGAGTTCACTGGCATCTGGACACACAGCTGCACAAGCTTAATTGCTTCTGCAATTAATTAGCAGCAAAGAGCAGACATAAACATTATGCATGCACTTTGAGGGGATAGGTGGGACAGCTTTTATTATCCACATCTTTGGAGTCTCTGATCTATTGTATATATTATGTCCATATTTATGTCCAAAGAAATCTCTAGCATGGTTCCAAACATAAAAAAAGTTGTAGAATCCTTCCATTAATCTATCTTCTGGTTCTAAAAAGTGGGTTTTGCAAAGTTTGAACATTGATTTGCTTCAACATCCTCTGTGCAAAACCGATGATTGTATAGTAAATATATTCAAAATGACTGCATCATCTTTAGGATCAACTTTTCAGAATACGATAAATTCTAAAAAGGCTTCCATAATGGGTTTATGGAAGCCTATCATTTGTACAATATTTAACAATTTTTTTTTCCACCCTTGGAAGGTATCGATTTTTCATCCGCGAGTATCTACACATAAAATCATAGGTGTCTCAAGGCTTATACCGTCTTTTCAACATGTCTGGTTTGTGCCAGCGTAGCAGCAAAACTCCGCCTCCCCAAGTCTCACTTTCAACTTGTACTAAAAGTGCACATTACAAACTACACACCAGTTTTTTTTTCTTAATTTGTTAATAGGCCAAGTAAAACCAGAGTTATGCTAAAATAAGTAAACCATATTTTTTCTGAATGTCAAAGAAATGTCAAAAACGGGCTTTTCTAGTTATGTGAAAGGAATTGAGCTTCCAAACGTAAAAAACAAAATGCAGCATTAGATTCATTTGTTTTTGGAAATCTCAAATCTTCAATAAATATTGATGGGCTGTATTTTGTTGCTAAGAAACAAAGTAAAATCGCGCTGGTAACCGTGAAAGAGAAGCGGAACGGCGTCACAGCGCGAACGGAGCAGCAGCAAAAGCAATGAGATTGCGAAATTAATGCAATGTTTGGAAATCAGAGCGACTAGTGGCATCCACTTCGTAATTTGTTTTTAGCTTAGTGGTTTCTGTTCTGTATGTAAAGGATTACCTGAATAATTAACATGCTGCATTTTTCT